TACATTGATGTTTCATAGTTGTCTCTACATTCTCCTAAATTCTCTTTCTAATTTTCCCGAAATCTTCCAGTTATTCTTTTGCGTTTTGTTGTTTTGTCTGGTCGCGTGCCTAGGGCTCCACCAAGCATAGGGGCCCCATGCTCCTCTGTAAAGTGATTTGCCATAAACAAACATCTATGTGACGTTTAAATTTATTATCATTATCGTGTAGCAGCTCCTTTCAGAACGTCGCTCTCATCACGGTCTGTCTAAAGAAATTCGGTCTGTCGTCAACACTTTGTGTTGGTCGGCCTCTGACCCACCTCTTTGGAACCATGCTTTCTGCTATTTATTATAATGATGTTTAGGAGATTTTGCGTCCTTTAGCACTTGATCGTTGTTAATGTTAGCCTTTAATGAGACTCTATTTTATGATGTGACTAGATCGATCTGTCACCACCGGTGTCGACTTCTTCTGCGATATAAAAACGGTTGCATGAGGGACATGACTGATACAGGTACTGAGGTGGGTTCCTGGAAACAGGATGCCATGAACCGGTAAGCATGAAGCGAGAAATTAGAAAGGGAAAATGGGTAAAGGGGAAGCAGTTATTGCAAAAAAGCACATTAAAAACATCACCATCATTGTTCTGTTGTGATATTATATATGTCACATAGGGCTCGCAGTCTATTCCTTTATTCCGATCGTTCCACCCTTGTGATTATTTTTGAGTCAAGTAGTCAAATAGTATGTATGTCAGGTTGTCATCCGTAGTTGACATACACGCATTCTGTGCACCACACACCACTTGACTCAATGTTTTGTTGTCGTCCCAATACTGGACGCAACTTTTCGTTATTCTAACACCCCACTCTGGGAGCCCTAATATAACCCAACGGTTGAACACAATTTCTGGGACTGGTGCCCGGATGATTCTCATCAGAATGATTGCACTTTGTGTCGTGGGTGATTTTCGCTCATTGTGCTATCCTGGTGGAGACTGACTTTATTCCCATTTGGCTCGGGTTTTTTTTTTTTTTTTTGCCATAGTGAGATCTTCTCCTACAAGTTTATGTTGCAAATAGTTTTATTTACCACGTGGGGGAGCTAGAAAGCTTTTAGTTTTGACATCTATTTGCAGTCTGTGGGACTAATATCTAAGGGATTAGAATCAAATAGTGAGATGGTTTGGCCACCTGACAAAAATGCCCTGGTACCAAATGCCACAGAGAGCCACTCTAAAGAAATATAATGAACACAGAGCAAGGAGAAGAGCACGCAAGAAATGGCTCAACACTATCAGGAGCAACGTAACAGAAATAAACACCGACTTGTACAATGCATTGGAAAAAGCTCACAAAGGATCCTTACATCTTCTCCTAACATCTCGCTGAAGTAAATGGTGGAAGAGAAGAAAAAGAAGAAGAAGAAGAAGAGAATCAAATAGCGACAAACCCTGAAAACCTTGTTCAGTTGTATCACAACTATCAATTTTAGCATGGTTATATTGGGGCACCACAAGGCGGTTGCAAAATAACATGTAGTCCAGTGTTTATGGGTATTATTGCAAATTTTTTTGAGCATGTCACCAAATAATGCCTGTATTTGTTGGTTGTTTATTGTTGCACTAAGCAATTTAGCGTTCGGTATTTTGACGGACGGTTCGATGCTCATATTACTGTTGAAATCAACGCAAAGCGTCTGATGTGAAACAAAACAAACAAACAAACCTACAGCTGAATAAAAGCGGTATGTGGAAATTATAAAACTGCCTTCATGGCCCTTAATATTCAGACATTATTTTTGCCACGGGACCGAACTGTGTAAAGCTCTCGCTACTTTTTGGCTGATTATATCCCTTTGCTTGAGTACTTTCTCTCTTTTTCAAAGGTGTCAGTCTTTTTGGTTGCGTTCACCGGCTGTAAACTCAGGCGGAAAGTTCTTGTTGTTCGTCCTCTTGTGGACTTAAGTCTTGCTCCAAAACTTAAGTTTTGCTTGCACATCTGTTTGACAGGCCTGTATTATTCGCATGCAGACTATTGATTCCACGCATGTCAGGCAGATGCCTTGTCACTTCTAAGGAAATACCTCTAATTAGTAGTTACTACAGATATATTTTTTAACTATTTACTGTCCTTTTTAGGATGACATTTTTCGTTATTTAAAGCCCCACCCTGGCTTTTTGCCGGGGGCCGCAATGTAGCCAGGCCATAAATATGGCCTAATGGCTAAACGTGGTTTCTGGGACCTCTCCACGGTGATCCTCAACCACATGGTGGCACATTGTATCATCGAATGTTTATCGCTTGTGTGATGTCCTAATAGGGTAGAATGTCAGTCAGTCAGTTAATCGTTATAAAGTCTTCCCCTTGTATGATGCCATTTTTTTTTTTTTGGGGTCGTTATTTGAAGCCCCACCCTGACTTCTGCAAGCGGCCCTGAATATAGCCCGGGCATAGATATGGCCTAACGGCTGAAAGGGGTTTCTGGGACCTCTCCACGGGTGATCCTCATCCGCATGGTGGCACTTTTTGTCACCGGCTGTTTATGGCTTGGTGGGGTACTACTGCCTACCTACCTACCCTTTTAGTCGACCTTAACCAAAATGCTTGTTGGGGGGGGGGGGGGGGGGTGGGGGGGGGGTGTTGGTTAATTCTCTCCCCTACAGCTTCAGGTTTCGATGGGGATGAAAGTTTCTGTATTTTGCCTTACTGCCTCGACAACAGTTTCTTTGAGGTTGTCTTTCCATCATGTTCTTGGCCCACCCTCGGGCTCTACGCCCCTATTCTCTTTTGAGTGAATGCTATTTATTTTCACTCTACATTCCATACAAAGGATTGGAAGGTCGTGGGTTCGATTCCTGGCGAGAGTCGGTTTTTTTTTTTTTTTTTTTTTTAAGAAAATCGCCCTAACTCCCATGTTGACCCAGCCAGTAAAGTCGGCCGGCGAGATGCTGACAACATTACCCACCAAGTGCCGTTTGTCACCAGTCTATAAAATATAGATCTAGCCAATACCCAGTACGCCTGAAAAGCGTGGAAAAGGGTTCTATGCTTTTCTTTTACTTCATATTAAAAAAAAAAGGTGTAATCGCTCTAAGAAAAATTAACATGGTGCGCACACGTTCCAGCACCTAGGTTGAATGGGGGCGAACACGCACACCTTGTCATGCTCGACCTTGGTCTCAAGTTATTTGATGTTCGGGCGGGTAGTCGGAAAAGATACCGTTTGGCTGCCCACACAACAAAATAGCGCTTTGGCCTGTTTACATCACAGCCGCTAAAGGTCCCGAGTCAAGATTGACTATGCTTTTCACTACGTAAGAACAAAAAAAGGACATCACTAGCGGCCTATAATATCAGTAAGTGGTAATCGTTTGTTGAGGCGGGGGGAGGGAGTTGTGGTCAGAAGGGGTGCTAGCACAAAGAAAACAGTGGTTCAAAAAAGGGGCGCCTCAGGACCCTTAAACATTTTATTTAGTGTTTCCCTGCCAGTGGTTTTATAATATGAAGGCCATGATGTTCATGAAAGCTGTCACACAACGTGTGTCTCCCACTGATCCCTGCATAGTATACTTTCTTTCTACTAGAACAGCGTTTCTCCATTTTTTTTTTTTCTCGCCTCGGCACCCTTGTCCGTTAAAAAAAAAGAAATTCGTGGCATAGCTACTCTTAAAGCCGTTTGTATCATCATCATCATCATCATCATCATCATAAACCACTTCTGCCGTTAAGCGTCGTGGGGAGGAATAATTTGCTATTCAGTGCACGTTGGCTGCCACTGGCTATTGTCATGCCGTGAAGACGTAAGAAAAGTAAAGATCCCTTTTCACGCCTTTCGGCGCATCGGGCATATGGGCAGAGCGTCCCATATTTTTACAGACCATCAGTAGAGTGTCTTTAATGTTGTCGATCCATATTTTCCGCGGCCGTCCTGTTGCTCTTGTAGCTGATCTTCTGAGCCGTTTGTATACTTAGTGAAAAAAAAAGGGGGAAAAAACAGTTAAATTTAATGTTCAATTGTCTTTAATGCGATGAATGAAACTGTTTTGATAAATTCATGTCTTTTATGTTTATGAGAAGTGTAGTCAATTGTACCCTCAAATCACTTGGAGGTTGCTGTCTCCTCACCATTAAGCAGTATATTTTATGCTTCCTGTGGAAGGGGGCGGGGGATAATGCGTCGATTAATTAACATTAAAAAAAATTAGCAGAAACAAAATGCGCAACGGCAGTGTTTTATACCGGCAGAGGCCTTATTCAAATACGGTTAGCTCATTATCTCTTCTGATGCACCGAAATGTATATATAAACTACGCAGGTTTCCAAGCATAGGAAAAATAGACATATCACCAAAGTCATTACAGGCATAGCTCCGGCTGTGCTTATACGTGTTATTCAATAGTGGAGGACTTGCATCGAAATGTGTTTTCAACACAATCTTAGACACGTAGAGCATATTCTTCTTCTTCTTCTTCTTAAAGTCCATGCCTTGTGGTGTTGGTAGTCATGTCAGTCCACAACCTTCTGTCTCGTGTACTTTCAATCAGCTCAGACACAGATGATCCTCCACGGCATGCTGTCGAACTGTCTAGCATCTTTTCTCTCGGACTCCTTCTGCCCTTCCTCCCCTCCAGCTTTCTTGCTGTCAAGAAGTACTCCAGTTTTCTTCTTCTCTCCTTCTCTAGAGCATATAAAAAAATGGTTTAAAGAAAACAAAATGTTTACTTTTTTTAATGTATGGAAACTTACAGAAACCCTGCACGACTCAGCGGATCAATCATACGCCATATGAATAATAATGTTGAATGCAATAGATCTCCAACTCTGTCTCTGTCCCTATAGTATTGTACCCTTACAGACCTATATATCCTCCTTGCTGTTATTTTCCCATTTGTATCGTTGTCTGTCTCTTGCTTTCCTGCCATTATCCTTTCCTCTAGTTTGGTTTGAATAGGAGAGTAAGGTGGAAGCAGCCACCGATTGTTTTCTTTTTTTCCCCCTGCTTGTAGAAAACCGCAATGGAGCTAGCAGACATCATATGTGAGGGAAGAAAGCACCATGCTACCAGTGACCTCAACAACATGAACAACAACAACAAAGTTTTTGCAACCTCGCCGGCAGTTCAAGGATTATCGGATACAGCGCTGCATCAGCAGGAGCACCATCTAGCACCGGCACCAGAGCAGCCGCTGCAGCAGCAACAGTCTTGTGATGGTGATAGCAACGAAAGTGCTAATGGGCAGCAAGGTAAGATTGCATTCATTTTTTTTTTTATTATATCATGTATGAATTCATTTATTAGACGATAAGCAATGAGAATACACTGGACAAAAAAAAAAAATACCACAGAAGATCAGACAACTTACCTCTCTCAAGAAACTGAAGATGCCTTCCAGGAAAAGAAGCCGGTGCTAGAAGCATAGATAGATTTAAAGAAAGCTTTTGACAAGATCTGGAAAAAAGGTCTCATTAAGAAACTGAGAAACTATAAAGTGAAAGCGAAAAGGTACACATGGATTAAAGCATACTTGTATAAAATTAGAGCCCGAGTACAGATAGACGGACTCAAGAGCAAGAAAGTCTTGTTGCGCCATGGTGTTCCCCAAGGAGATGTTTTGTCCCCAACATTGTTTCTGGTCTATATCAACGACCTAATTGCTAAACTACCCAATGCTGCCATGAAAGCTTACAACTTGGCACTGGGGTGTACAAATAAATATGCAACAGTGGCCACTCCACTGCTGCAAAGATCTATAGATGCAGTAGCTGCATGGGCTGATAAATGGCGTGTCGGCATCAACATAGAGAAATGCAGCACCATCCTCATCATCCTTTCTCCCAAAAAAATGCAGGCATCATTCAAATAAAAGGAATACCATTAAGAGAGAATAAGAAGCCCACATACCTCAGAGTCACGTCTGATGATATGTTGACATGGAGAAAACACATCAATAAGGCAGCAACGGAAGTCTGAATGAAAATAACTGTCCTGAGAAAGCTAAGTGGAACAATATGGGGCGCTAGTTGGGTAAGACTTTGGGAAGTTTATCAACAAAGTGTGCGACCACAATTTGAACACGGGTCGACTGCATGGAGTTCAGCATCAAAACACACCCTACACAAGTTAAGACAAGGTGCAAAATCAAACACTCAGAGTCATAACAGGCGGGATAAAATCAACTCCTAAAGCTGCGATGGAAAAGATGGCGATGACCCAAACAGTGACAAAACGCAGAACCATAAAGATACTACTAAGCATGCCCGAACACCCTATGAAAGTAAGATTTTAAAATCTAGCAATGAGGAGACTAAAAAGAAGCAATTTAATCCACCAGCTATCTTAAGAAGTTTAACGGGATAACTCCGTGCTGGTTCAGGGCTACAAATTTTTGGCGGCGCGTGGTGGGCCAGGTGACCTGGAATAGATACATCGACTCTTCTTCTTATTATCATTTATCATCATCATCATCTTCTTCTTCTTCTTCTTCTTCTTTTTCCTTCTTATTATTCCTTCTCTTCTTTTTCTTCTTTTTTCTTCTTCTTCTTCTTCTTCTTCTTCTTCTTCTTCTTTTCTTCTTCTTCTTCTTCTTCTTCTTCTTCTTCTTCTTCTTCTTCTTCTTCTTCTTCTTCTTCTTCTTCTTCTTCTTCTTCTTCTTCTTCTTCTTCTTCTTCTTCTTCTTCTTCTTCTTCTTCTTCTTCTTCTTCTTCTTCTTCTTCTTCTTCTACTTCTTCCTCTTCTTCTTCTTCTTCTGCTTCTTCTTCTACTTCCTCTTCTTCTTCTTCTGCTGCTGCTGCTTCTGCTGCTGATGCTGCGGCTGCTTCTGCTTCTGCTGCTACGGTAGCGGCATTCGCTCTTAATAGGGCAGTTACCACGTTGCACGGTTGTTTACAATTACTCTGTATTACATGTCCTTTTTTTAATATGGACTATGTTGTGTTGAGGGGACGCATCAGGAAGAGAATGAGAATGAAGGAAGAAATTATTACAGAAAGAATGAGAGAAGAGCGTCTGAGAAGAAAAAGACTAAATACCAATGTTGACATTAATGGTCCTGAAAGTCCATGCTATAATTGTGAAAGAAATGCAAACTACAAACATTCTTTGATTATCCCGTTCTACCATTCTCTATAGAAATGTAAACTAAAGACAGTCTTTGACTATCACATTGTTCCATTCTCTATAGAAAGGTAAACTAAAGACAGTCTTTGACTATCACATTCTACCATTCTCTATAGAAATGTAAACTAAAGACAGTCTTTGACTATCACATTCTACCATTCTCTATAGAAATGTAAACTAAAGACAGTCTTTGACTATCACATTCTACCATTCTCTATAGAAATTTAAACTAAAGACAGTCTTTGACTATCACATTCTACCATTCTCTATAGAAATGTAAACTAAAGATATTCTTTGACTATCACATTCTTCCATTCTCTATATAGAAATTCTCTATTAAACTAAAACTTTGACTATCACACAGTCTATTTGACTAAATACAGTCATTGTATCATTGTATCATTCTCTTTAGAAATCTAAACTAAAGATATTCTTTGACTATCACATTCTTCCATTCTCTATAGTAATTTAAACTAAAGACAGTCTTTGACTATCACATTCTATCATTATTTATAAAAATGTAAACTAAAGATATTCTTTGACTATCATATTCTACCATTCTCTATAGAAGTTTAAACTAAAGACAGTCTTTGACTATTACATTCTATCAGTCACTATAGAAATGTAAACTAAAAACATTCTTTGATTATGACAATCTACCATTCTTATGGTTATCACCAACGACATTAGCACCAAAGATGTTTTATTTTTTATTTTTTATTATTACACTTTTGTTACACGGTACAGCCCCGCCACCACCAGCGTACGACTATCAGGGGCAGTATCCCCAAGGACAACGCTACTCGCAACATCCAGAATACCAGCAACATCAAGGGTACTCGCCACAACAAGGCTACCCTCCACCTCAAGGATACCCACCTCCACAAGGCTACCCACCTCCACAAGGCTACCCACCTCCACAAGGCTACCCACCGCCACCACAAGGCTACTACCAACCGCAGCAAGACTACTACCCACCACCACAGCAAGTGGTCTACGTGCCAGCAAATGCCGGAACCTACCAGGGGCAGCGGCCATCCCAGCCACCCGCTGTGGTCTATTCAACTCCAGGGAGCCCCAGTCAGGTGGTTTAAACCAATAGCAATGTCATCATCAGCAGCATTATTAGCATCATCATCATAAAACGTCAAAATTTTTCTTATTCTTTTTTTTTTTTTTGTCGTCTCTCTGATGAAGGTTAAAGCCCAGTGTCGAGGTTTTTCTGTATTTGTCTTGCGCTTCTCAGGTAGCTTTTGTGATGGATCTGTTCACCTTTGTTGCAGGTTTCGTCTACACCATTTATCCATCCCTTTCTTGATCCTCCTCTATCCTCACTCCCATATGATCTGCTGTTTAAAAAAAATATTTAAACAAATCTCATATTCAGTTTGAAATGGCTGCATTCCCACTAGACAACCAAATCGATTCATACTTAGTCAGACATTATCATTTTCAAATTTTCTCTCTACTGCTGGTGCTCGTAACCCTGTCACTTTTTGTGTGGCTAAGTCGATGCGAACGCTTCGTAATGCCGGGGTGCCTGGTTCGATCCCAGCTTTGCGTTGGTTTCGACAGTGGTATCAATAAAGCCGACCGTCCACAAAGCAATGGCAAACTACTGGATGTAAATTTGCATAGAAAACCACACAACAGCCAGGGGCTGTTGGGGTTGGTTCTGCAACGTCATGTAAAGGATACGCAACTAAAGTATCAGTGTCCTTACAGAGACAGGACATTTCACGGGCAGTTGTTTTCTTTTCTAGTGCCCTATTCATTTCCATGTCTATCACCTAAGGCCTAAAGTTACGATTAGGATGTTATTAATCCGTTGCTGTTTTGCTGGAAGAGAGACACGCGGGTGTTTAAGCAATAGGGCTAACTGGTAGGTGACAGCCTTTACCTTCTCTACTCTGGCTTCTATCTCTTCATCACATCTTCCTTCTTCTCTAAATATGCTTCCTAGATATTTGAATTCTTGTACTTCTTTGATTAAATTACTATTATCATGAACGTTTTTGTTATTATGTTTCCTTATTTTTTTTTTTTTTTTATACCTCAGTTTTTGCTGTATTTATTTTCAAATAAGGAAAAGATCTACGAATAATAAAGAATATGAGCTATCATCAAAATAACGGTCCCAAATTATCGAGGCCGAAAATATACCCTAACAGGGCCTCAGTTACATGTAAATTGCGCACTTCCGGCGACTTAAATTGCGGACTTTCGGCGACCGAAAATATCTCCTGTGGCGCTACGCGTGGCGCGGAGCGGGGCTAAAATAGATAGCTGGGAATCACGACAAGCTACTGCAACAATTTACGTCGTGAGTCCCAGTCATCTAGTCTAGCCCCACTCCGCGCCACGCGTAGTGACGCGGGAGATACTCTCAGCGGTGGCAGTAGTCGCCGAAAGTAAATATATAATGTGATCTTTATGTGATATGCCAGGAATTTTGGTTAGTGGGCACAATATAAACAATTTACGTAATGCTGATGACACAGTCTTGATAGCAACAAGTCAGAAAGAACTACGGGGAATGATAGACATTGTGGTTGTAGAAAGTTGAAGAATGGGACTCAGTTTGAATAATGGGAAAACATATGTAATAGTGGTATCAGAGGAAAAAATTATTCCTAAATGTTTAATAAAAGCCAATAGTGTTATTTCGGGAAAAGTACAGATATTTCAATCTCTCAGCACATGAATAACACAGATGGAAGATGCATAACTGAAATAATAAACAGAATTGGACAGGCAAAAACTGCATTTTATAAAATAAAGAACAATATATCTTTGTCATTGAGGGTTAGAAAAAGAATTCTTGCTTGCTACATACATCTAGTTTCAACATATGGCTACGAGTCCTGGCCAATCAGTGGGCAGGCCAAACAATTTCTTGAATCCTCAGAGATGTGGTTTTACAGAAAAGATGCTTAAAATACCTTGGACAGCCAAAAAGAGCAACTAAGAGATTTGGAAAGAGACGGGAGCCCGAAGACAAATTATCACAGACATCAGAAGGAGACAGTCATCATTTTTCGGCCATGTTATGAGAAGAGGGAAAATAGAACATGTTGTGACCACTTAAAAGATCTGTAGAAGGAGGGACAGAGGAAGACAACGAGAGAAGATTCTGGACAGACTTGTTGCATGGCATGGAGGTGTGTCAGCACACGAACTGATACATGCTGCAGGAGATCGCAGATTGTGGAGAGGCATGATCGCCCACGCCAGTCGGCAAGGCCCCTGATGATGATGATGATTTTCAAATATCGTGTGCAGGTTTGATCTAAAGAGTCAATATGCTGTAAATTTTGTTCTTGATGATGCGTTCAGTGTCTGTTTGACTCCTGTTGGATTTTATCTATTAAGTAATGAAAAGCAGTGGAGACAATGACTCACGTCTCTCTCCCTATCTCTCTCTCTCTCTCTCTCTCTCTCTCTCTCTCTCTCTCCCCCCCCCCCTCTCTCTCTCTCTCTCTCTCTCTGTCTGCTGATAAGATAGGGAAACTGTGTGTCATTCCTTCTGTTGCTCTTACTGTGAACTGACTATCCTGATAAAGAGCCCTAATGCTACCCAACAGTTGATCTTGAATGCCATAGCCATCTTGAATTGTTCACAGTTTGCATCTAGTGACTCGATTGAATGCCCTCTCTTGATCTATAAATACGAAATGTTGACTTTTATCATCAACATCAACACAATGTAGACATCTTCATCGATATCCTAAGTCACATTCACTGGTGTAGACAATCTAGAACCAGTTGAGTTGTATCCTCTGTAAATGTTATGTAACCAGGAAGGACACTTAGGAAACGATAGTGAGGTGAAATGGCGATGGGGAGGTGACGGAGTGTGTTACAGACGATAGTATATGATTAAGACAAATTTGTATGAGCTAGGTGAGAGCTTATACTCCACTAAATAAGGTCCTGATTGTAACCTTTACTTCCTTACTTGTTTCTTCTTTGTCAATCTAGAATATGTTCGTCGTGAAGCAGTACCTCGAGAGTCCTGCGGCCAGGAATGGTAAGGGAATGAAACAAAAAGTTGCTCTACATACTTGCCAAAACTTAGGTTTACAATACCTCGTTTTGTCTATGCTCTACTTTTCTTGTTGGTCGTTTCTATCGCCCTTTGCTGCATTAGCTAGTTGTTTTTTCTTCTTCTTCTTCTTCTTCTTCTTCTTCTTCTTTTTCTTCTTCTTCTTCTTCTTCTTCTTCTTCTTCTTCTTCTTCTTTTTCTTCATCATCATCATCATCATCATCATCATCATCATCATCATCATCATTATCATTATGATCATCACCATCATCATCATTATCATCATTATCATTATCACCATCATCATCTAGTTCTTTATCGTCGTCATCATCATCATCATTATTATCATCATCTTGTTCTTCATCTTCATCATAATCATCATCTTCTTCTTCTTCTACTTCTTCTTCTTCTTTCTTTTCTTCTTCTTCTTCGCTTTCACCGAGTGTAAAAAGCACTGGAAAGTTCTAGTTGTTTTCCCACTTCTGTACTTTAGTCTTGCTACAGAACTTTAGTGATGTATACACATCCATTTACCAGATCTGACCTAATTGTATGCAGGCTGTTGGTTCCTTGCCTCTCGTGCAGATGCATTCGGACTTCGAAGAATGCCCAGAATCATTCAGCCCTTACAATATGCCTGTTGGCTATATTCTTGTCCCCCCCCCCCCCCCCCCACATTAAGTCCCCGAAACCAACAAGCGACGGCTAGTTGTTTCCATTCTTGGGCTTCTCTGTGACTGGAGAGCAAAGGCAAACTCCTGGACGTAAATTTGCATAGAAAAACCACAATAGCCAACAAATGCTGGGGTTGGTTCTGCAACGTCTTGTCAAGGATACGCAACTTTAACTCTGTGGTTCTGCACTGGGAAAGGTTTGTATTATGTCGAACTCCTTCCACTGGTTCGATATTTTTTGTTTTCTTGGAATCAGAAGATCTTGAGCATACCTCATCTGGCTCAGTGTTGTGAGCATTGAAGCTCCTTAGTCTCGGTGCCTCGTACACTGTTGATCTGGGGAGTAGGCGGCTTTTCTGCCTTCCCCCGGCTCAAACCCGAGACCGGACATGCAGGGGAAATAGTCACCCCACGCCAAACACGCTATCAACTATGCTGGAGCGCCGGGCATCTGGTTCGAGATTGCATGTTTCAAAGGTCTCCAGAGGCAGTCGACGATGGTATGGAGTCATTGTTTTCTGCGACGATCTTGACGGTCGAACACCCCATTGCTGTGAGACCCAGACAAAAAGAATAACAGATCCTTCTACATGTAAACACCCTCTTATGTTTGCTTGCAATATTCTATTTTTTAAATATCTTTTTTAACATTATATTGATTATTCCCATTTATATTCACAACAATATAGATCAATTACCCTTCTGTTTACAATATTATATTGTTTCCATTACTGTTGGTCGTATGTGATAAATAGTTTCAGTTTTTGGTAATACAGTTAGACATAATCTACTTATTTGTGTTTCCAATGTTTGTTAATTGTTCTAATTTTATTTGTACGTGATCAGCCAGCAGGATCTTTACAGAACGACGTTCTCTTCCTTCCCTCTATTCCCCCTCTTTCTTTCTTCTCTCCCTCTGTTTCACTCTCACTCTCTCTCTCTCTCTCTCTCTCTCTCTCTCTCTCTCTCTCTCTCTCTCTCTCTGTCTCTCTTTATATCTCTTTCTCTCTTACTATCTCTCCTTTTCTGTCATTTTTTCTTTCTCTCTCTCTTAATATCACTTTCTCTCTATATGTCTCTCTCTCTTTCTCTCTGTATATATCTCTCTAAATATATATATATATATATATATATATATATATATATTTTTCTGTCTCTATTTCTATCTATCTCTCTTTCTCTGCCTCTCTATCTTTCTCTGTCTCTGTCTCTCTCTCTGTCTCTCCCTCTCTATCTCACTCCATCTATCTCTCTCTCTATCTCTCTATCCCCCATCTCTCTCAACAATTCTACAATATGTGCTTTCATAGCCAATGCATCTTTAATATCTTCTATCAACTTTCGCGGAGGTCTGCCTCTTTTTCTTGAAACTCTATGACGCTTTAACATGGGGAAAACACACCAGATGTCGGGAGAGAATGTTTATTAGCCATTTATCCTCGATGTTCAGATCATGTAGCATGTCGATTTCTTCTTTTTGGTTTGTGGTGTTCTAGGAATGCTTTGTAATATTTCGGTTCAACGCACAGAAGTGTTGCTCAGTGACTGAGTAAGAGTCGATAACTCACATCTATTTTTCTCCCCACAATATTGAATAGATTGTTTATGTTTATCACACATGTCTTGTTTCTATTTCTATTAATAATATAAAATGCATGGCTTTTCCCTTAAAAAAAAAAAGACGTCAGTAATCACCGAAAGCTCTACTATAGTAGAGCTGTAAAGGAAAAGGAAGCTTCTTCTTCTTCTTTGCGTTCGTTCTGTTTCGTATGCTCAGATCAGAGACCATCAGGTGGGTTGCCTCTGTGAACTCTCATGTCAGCGGCAGGTCCTTCATGGTTTCGCATAGCTTGGTCTTCACACTTTGCTCGTGAGGCCAGGTGTCTTTTCGAAGTTGTGGGTAGAGTGGGCAAGTCTGCAGAATATGCTCGGGTGTTTGTGGTCCTGTCTGACACACTGTGGGAACGGTACAATCTGTATTTTATGCATGTGGTAGTTAAGCCTGCATGGGCATAACAATTGTGGTTTTGGGGTATTATGTAGGCATGTATGTATGTATGTATGTGTGTGCAGCATATATTTATGTGTCTATGCATTTATATACTTTTACTTTCAGCCTTCATCAGAAAAGTGTACAGCATACTGCTAGTACAACTTCTTGTGGCTAGCTCGTTCATTGGCGTCAGCGTCTTCGTGTAAGTACCTTTCGTATATGTAGTGAGTCGAAGTGGTTCAGTGCCTGGGCGGTTGCCTACCGACCAGAATGTTTTGAGTTTGAATGCGCATCGAGAATGCCCCCCCCCCCCCCTCTTTATTTAATACTTGATCTTCAAATTATTGTGGGCATAAATGAATGGTTAAAATGACATCACTAATGTGCAGGTTATATAGGATATTGGCATGATAACGTAGATATGCCTAACTTTTTAAATGACATGCCCAGTTTCTACGTCTCTGTATCTCTGCCTGTCCGTCCGTCCGTCCGTCCTCTGTCTGTCTGTCTGTCTGTCTGTCTGTCTGTCTGTCTGTCTGTCTGTCTGCCTGCCTGCCTGTCTGTCTGTCTGTCTGTCTGTCTGTCTGTCTGTCTGTCTGTCTGTCTGTCTGTCTGTCTGTCTGTCTGTCTGTCTGTCTGTCTGTCTGTCTGTCTGTCTGTCTGTCTGTCTGTCTGTCTGTCTGTCTGTCTGTCTGTCTGTCTGTCTGTCTGTCTGTCTGTCTGTCTGTCTGTCTGTCTGTCTGTCTGTCTGTCTGTCTGTCTGATCAAACGTTCGTTTGATGCTGCTTTAATAGTTGTGTCTTGAAAGGCCGAGTATTTAAGTTAAAGCCGCGAGGGTCTTCTTCAGTGTCCAAGGTTATCCAATCTGACTCGGATCCCCATAAGATCTACCAACAAACTATACACAAGAACTGACTGAATGCGCCGTCGTGAAATGTACCCGTCACATTCAGATCGCGAGGCGTGACACGGTAATTTCGATCACAGATGTGAGAAAAAGTTAAGTCCATAGTGTTCAGAAAAACTCTAATCCTTACCTGCCTACCGCTAGTGAATGGGTCATAACCTCTTGTCGAGAACTCGCTGTAAAGTGAATAAAGATCCCGGGTAGAGCCTCCTGGCATTAAACATTGCTTCAAACATCTTTCGATTAAGATTTTTACTAAATGGCAACATCCTACTTGATCATACAGTAGGTTCGGTTCACATTGGCCGCATTCATCATATAAATTTAAGCTCACCATTTTTTTTTTTTTTTTTAGTCCGAGTGCATCTGTCTGATATGCAAGGAAGTAATAGACTGTTGTATAGAAGGTAAACATTTCTTTATTAGTAATTTAAAAAAAAAATTATTATCAGAAATATTGCCACATACTTCTTCATCTATCTTTCAACTTCCATTCGAGCATATCCATCCAGTTAACTCAAGCTCTGCTCTTTTTATATCTACTTAGTTGGATTTTGCAGCTAAATTGTTCTACTGAATGATGAAACTAGTCTCACACCCAACCTTCACAAGTACCAGGTTACGACATGCATAGCAGGTTACAGTTTGTGTGTGTGTGTGTGTGTGTACTGTGCGTGTGTGTGCTTCTTTATGAATCCAAGTATTACTTAGGGTTTCATATCAGTCATATTGTGTCAATATGTAGATACGACAACACCAAGAGAGATCTTGCCAGTAGTGAAAGCCCGAACTATTCTCTGTTTCAGGGATCCAGTGAACAAGTGGGTGAATCAACATTTTTACCTGGTATACCTATTCTTGTAAGTCGATTTCGAAAGCAGATATTGAAAGCGTATTGCGAAAGCAGATATTGAAAGCGTCATATTGTCGTTTAGTTTGTATTATGTTACGTAATAATCTTACTCGCCCGAGTGTCACCGGGGTACTCACGGGAAGCAAAGAAAAGTGACACTGCACCCTACCAGGCATATTGTAAGAGGCGACTAAGGGTACGCTTGGACTTGAGGTTGGCTACCTCATCCTGTAAAAACAACAGCCACAAAAACCAACCAACCATGGATAAGTCAAAAAAAAGAAGCAAGTAAAACCCAGTCAACCAAGATGAGGGGAGCTCTTCAAGTAGAAGAAGTATGACACGGTGTGGAGAAAGCCGTAAGGAGTCCCGTTCGTTGACGTACCTCCTCTCAGCTAGGAAACCCTCTAGAACTGACACCTAGAATTTTAGAAATCTCTGTGATATAGGGAGAACAATGGAAGTAGCAAGAGAGATGAAACTTTATAGAATTAGTATTTTAGGGTTATGTGAAACTAGATGGTTGATTGTAATGTCAAATCAGTACTTTTGTATGGGGCGGAAACATGGAGAAAAACTAAGGCAATTACTAATAAATTACAGACATTCATTAACTTGTGCCTGCGCAGAATAGAGGGAATTAAATGATATAATAGAATAACTAATGTAGAGCTTTGGGAGAGAACTAAACAGGCTCCAGTGGACCAAGAGGTGAGGAAAAAGACGATGGCTTTGGAAAGGACACACACTGAGAAAACAGCACAACAGCATAACTAGAATGTCTTTGCATTGGAACCAACAGGGGCATAGGAATAAAGGAAGGCCAAAAAAACACAGGGAGAAGAGAGCTGGAGAATAAAGCATCTGTACTGCCTTTCCTCTGAGTGTAGAGTGTCGGCCAGATCCGCCGATCACTCCTCGCTGGACCATTCTCTTCATACCGTGATAATCTAAGTGTGCATGTGCACCGTTCACTAGCTCCCAACGGGTCTTGCTTGTCATGCATTAGTTGGTTTCTCGCCTCCCAAGACCTTTCCTTAGACTCTGTGACCTAGAAGAACGCCGTGTACAGTAAACACTTCTGACGTCATTCTGCAGAAAACTGAACACTGTAAAATATATCCCCTACACTTACAAAGGGACGCGGAGTTCGACCCTCTTTAACGCTTGGGATGTGTTTAAAAAGTAATCACGCCGACAACGCAATGACTGCTTGGGCAAGCTCTGTGTGTTCCTGTACCTTGAATAACGATATTTGGAGCAAACTAAAAAGGGTAAAGTGCGGAATGGGCAAAAACATTTTTAACGTAAGCACACGTTATTCTATCAAAATTGCATGCTTCAGTCTGTACAGAGTGGCAAGCATCGCTTCAGAGATCCAGCATAGTTAGCCTCGTTTGGATATTTTTTCTCCAGGGTGTGATGGGAAATTAATTTGCCCATATATTGGCTGGTTTTTCACCATCATCATCATGTAGCAGGTCCTTTGCAGAACGTCGCTCTCATCACAGTCTGCCTGAAAAAAAAAACTCGGTCTCTCGCCAGCTCTCCCGTCTCATGTACTTTCTTTTTACTCAAGGAGTCACTTATATCCTGTGCCCATCTTCGTGTTGGTCGGCCCCGGTCCCTTCTTCCTGGTACCATGCCTTCTGCTATTCTTTTTTTTCAAATCTGTCGTAGTGCTTGATATGACGAAAATATTTCAGCTTGTTGTGTGTGTGTTAGCAGTTCGGATGGCTACCGTATGCTTTGTATGCGTGTGTATGCTAGATATGTAGAGACAGCAGTCTGTCAATCCATCCACAAGGGACTATGATAATCATTATGTGTGTTTTTCGTTGGCACAGGAGCGAAGCAACTATAGGGTGACCCGTTTGCTATGAAGCTGAAACTAAGATTACCAGATTACCACATTTCAGCTTCCTATACAGGATGCTGTTTATCAGCCAATCTTCCTTCACGTTCAGATCTTTCAAGCTGTCAGTGATTTCTCCTCGTCTTTGTCCAAGATATTCTGAAAATCTTTCTATAGCTTTTCAGCTCAAAAGCCTATATTCTCTTTCTTAAGGACTGGGGGTTCTGCACCACTTGATAGTAAATAGATAAAAAACAAGCTAGATTCGGTCAAGGGAGAAAGTAAACACCCAGAAAACACAAACGAGATCATCATGGTCCTAAAAAAATGGAGAAGAAGGGAATGGCCAGGACATGTGGCGGACCCTCTACATTCAGAGGAAATAAAGACGAATACACATTCATACTGCTGATACACTCGGAAGTGGACCTCTACGCTGGCTGGAGACTGACCGCTACTAGGAATGTCTCAAGAGCTGATATGTCGGTTCTTGACTCATTCTGTGCAAGCCACAAACATGATTATATCACCACTTCGTATTGGCTTCTCTGACAACCCAATATATTATATTACACCTGACAGATCACAGTTCATTCTTCCAAACTCTAAAATGTGACTATTTCATTAAAATTAAAAAAATTAAAAAAGATAAAAAAGAAAAAAAAAAAAAAAAATAATTGGCAAAGAAAACAAAGGAAGACTTTCATTTGGTCTGTTACTTTTATGCTACGAAACTGCTGACCGAATGATTGTAACGTCGGGCTCCGTGTGGATCCCTACCTTCACTGTCCGTTAGTCTGTCAGTCAGTCAATCAGTTACTTGGTTAGCTAGTTAGCTAGCTAGATAGTTAGTTAGTTAGTTAGTTAGTTAGTTAGTTAGTTAGTTAGTTAGTAGTTAGTAGCTAGCTAGCTAGCTAGTTAGTTAGTTATCTTAGTTAGGTGAGTTAGTTAGGTAGTTAGTTAGTTAGTTAGTTAGTAGTTAGTTAGTTAGTTAGTAGTAGTTTAGTTAGTAGTAGTTAGTTAGATTAGTAGTAGTTAGTTAGTTAGTTAGTTAGTTAGTTAGTTAGTTAGTTAGTTAGTTAGTTAGTTAGTAGTTAGTTAGTTAGTTAGTTAGTCTTGTTAGTAGTTAGTTAGTATTAGCTTCAGTTAGTTAGTTAGTGGTAGTTATTGGTTAGTTAAGTTAGTTAGTTGCGTTAGTAAGTTAGTTAGTTAGTTCGCTAGATTACGTAGTTAGTAGTTAGTTAGTTAGTTCTAGTTAGTTAGCAAACTTAGTTTAGCTAGCTAGTTAGCTAGTTGCCACCTAGTCAGTTAGTATCCCTCAGCGTTAGTTAGTTAGTTGTTGGTTAGTTAGTTAGTTAACTAGTTAGTAGTAGGTTAGATTAGTTAGTTGGTTTTTAGTTATCAGTTAGTTAGTTAGTAGTTAGTTAGTTAGTTAGTTAGTTCAGTTTAGTTAGTAGTTAGTTAGTTATGTTAGTTAGTAGTTAGTTAGTTCGTTAGTAGTTAGTTAGTTGAGTTGTTGCGCGCTACAGTTAGTTAGTTAGTTTACCTCCTGAAGTTCATAGTTGGCTCGATTAGTTAGTTAGCCTTCTTAGTTAGCTAGCTAATAGCAATGAGAGGGTGGGCCCGGTGCATTGCTTCGATTGTCCGTGGTGATAGCATTAGACTCGAGGCTCTAAATCATAAGGCCAAATAGACAGAGAGACAGAAGAGCTGACACATGGCACGGATAGAAAGCTTGACATAAAATCAGACACACATGTAACCTATATATGCAAAGAGACACACTTAACAAATATTCCCTCTGACGAAGCACCTCATCCATCCCACAGATTTTTCTATCTGGCCTGCGCTATCGTCATGTGCTGCTGCATGCCGCAGTTGTGCTCCACGAATCCGATCAGCATTGGCGTTCTCATCGTCATCGTGAGTAATGTTGTATAGTATGTGATATAAATAATAATATATGCTTAATCACTCCCTTGTGGGAGTGCAATTTTTTTTTATTAGGAAGCCCCACCCTGGCTCTTGCCAACGACCGCAGTTTAGTCCGGCAATAAATATGGCCTAATGGTTGAACGCGGTTTCTGGGACCTTTCCACGGGTGATCCTCAGCCACATGGTAGCACTTTGTGTCATCGGGTGTTTATCGCTTGTGTGATGTCCTAGTGGATTAAAATGTACTACTACTAATGTTGTATAGTCCTTTACAAGATTTCGCAAGCCGGACTCATTATTTATTAGCTGCCTTGTGTGCTACTGCGAAATTCACGTTCCTTCTTTCCTGTGTATCCTTTCTGGACCGCTACCAGAAGGTGTGACGCCCTGACCCAAAAGGTGCGACGCCCTAACCCAGAAAGTGGACGCCCTAAAAATACACAGCTGATATATGATAAGCTAGATATTGTGATGGCTCTTTGGGAGCGAGCGAACAGTGCGGAGGTACAAACAGATAATTACAGTCTGATGAGAATGGCGCTGCGAGGAGGTACCAGGTGATCTGGTTGACGCTCAGCTCTCAAGGAAAAGGCGAGATAGACGTACGATCAGATAGTTACTGGTGCTATCGGAACT